CCACCGTGTTGCAACGATTCCTCGCCGGATGATATCTATCCCGATTCCGATCGGATGGGTCACTTTTAAACTTACACTTGGCTCTCAACTTCTTCTGCATAAGTGATTTGATGTCATCCGTTAACCATGGAGCAGGAAGGTGCTTAACGCGAATGGCGCGTTGTAACATGTAGTTCAATATTTATTATTTGTAACACCTCTATATCATGTTGTACCTTAGGATAGAGTACGAAGCATGAAATTGTAGTATACCGTAACAGTTATTTTTTTACCGGTTATTTTTATCTTTTATGGCTTTGAATCCGTTAATATTCAGCAGAATTAAATTTGAAAAAAATATCGTTTTTGGTATAATTTCGATATTCAATTTTATACATCGATATATTGGATCAAAATATCAATATATTAAAAAAAATATCGATATATTTACATTTTTTCGATATCCCTATCGTACCTATCCATAGATAAGACTATCTACATGACGATTGACGACGTATCTATGCAAAACTGTCAAAAGAAAATGTCAAAAGTCAAAACGTCTGTATTGAAAACATTTTCATTTCAGAATATTAGCTTAAAATATTATTATATTCCTTCACTAATTAAAGATGAAGCCTACAGTTGCAGCAGATGAAATGTTCCCTGAAGGCGTTGGTCCATATATGGATATAGAAGAAGTATGTAAAACAGTTATTACTTTTGAACTAGATTTATTTAAACCTAAATATAGAGTTTTATATGTCGCTAAATAGTATCTTTCGCCTTGTGTAAATTTTCGTTGTAAATAAATAAAATTAAAGGTTATTAAAATAAATGTACAGTCAAAGTTTATTCTTACTAATTAGAGTATAAATATGTATACAAAAATAAATAAATTTAATTTATTTAGAGACTAGGGCTATAAAGAATGATCAGAAATTTTATGAATAGTCAGTTTGATTTTATTATGTAATTTAGCAGCTTTAAGTCATTATAATTTTAATATCTGCATATAACACAAAATTTTCTACTTAATATCTTTATAGTTTATGTAAGTATTTTTGGATGGCTAATGACAGTGTTTTACTATTAGCAATTTTTAGATTACTTTTGGCAGTTCAAACACTGACACCCTGTTTCTGAAACACTGATCATCATAGAAGTCAACTAACCAGCCGTTAAATGGATTTCCAAATATTATTTGAGTTGCCAAAAGGCGCAAATAGCTAAGCCTTGTGCTGTCACCCAGGACTAGATGAGGTTCATTGATCTTGCTATGATTTTTAGTCATAACACTAAAAAAAATATTTTAAAGTTTAAGTGTGATAGCAACATAGGGTGTCAGAGACATCTTGTGTCAATTGAACATAGTTATCAAATCAAATATATATTTACTCGATTTGAGAAGAGACCAGCATGAAACTCAAAAGTTGCTCTTTATCAATAGTGTCAGTTTACAATTTATATAAAATACAGGTATAATAGTCTTATTCTAGTCTATGTGAGTATCAACAGTATTAATCCCACATTATGCGAAAACGTTCCATTCCGCAATGATTATAGTTTGAGAAAAACGCAATTTACTGTTTCAGTGGTACACTTTTTGCCCTAAACAATATTGACAAGCAATAAAGGATAAATCGTAGTAAAATATGGTCTTTACCTAATCATGTACCTTTTTTTATTATATTTACGTTAAAACGGTAGGTAATTAGGAAAAATGGTATTGGAACATTTTTGATAAACTACTTTTTTGATAAACATTTTTTCTAAGACGTACGTTACTTGGGTTTGATAAAATAATCCAAGATTATTGAATCGTTTATGTTACGAAATGAAAACGTTCCAAACACATTGAAACGTTTTTTAAGTAAAGGTTACTTTACTACCCAAGTAGGGTTGGATGAAACGTTCCCAAGGTTATTGAATCATTGTATAAAAATATTAAGGAAGAATCGTATTAAATAAAAACGTTTCAGACGGATAAATACCTTTTATTCTCAATTGAACCATGTAATTGGTAAAAATTGTGGGTTGGAACATGCAGTGAGAATTATAAATAAAGAAATATTACACGAGGACAGAAATCTTTTTGCTAGATGATGCGCGATGCTAGCGAGATGATGTATGGTGTCAATAAAGGTGTACTAGTCACGTTAACTCCATTTCTTAGTGATTGTGGATTGGAACGTTTTTGCATAACTACGTCCAATTGATGATTTTATAACAATATTTACTTAAAAAATTTACCAGGCTGGGGGACCATCCAACCTTCTAATGGACTTGGCTGCTAATGAAAAAGCAGTGCATGCAGATTTTTTTAATGGTATGTTGCTGTTTACATTGCCTATCCTCATCTATGTAAATCATTTTTATTATTGTGAAAATGGTGTAAATTACCTTTAAAACAAAAACACAACAGTTATTGATTGTACTCCCATAACCTAATCATCAATAAACACAACATGGGGCCAAGTATTTGTACGACCTACATATATTAATCCATGTATGTACCTATTTCGGTCATAAGTTCCGTACAATAATAAAAATAACTATTCAATTTTGAAAGAAGAACATTAAAAAAAAGTATTTCGAAGATGTGTGAAGTCCGCCAATCCGCAGAGAGTGGTCGCGTAGTGAACTTGCCCAACTTTGGGACATAAAAAACAGCGAAATTCTATTTTCGGATCATAAAAAGTTTACAGTGGACGAGAGCTACAATACACAAAATGATGAGGTGTAAACACCCCTACAGTGAAGTGAGCAGCCGCATTCCGGACACGCGGAATCCAGCGACGACATTTTCCATAGTCACCTTACATGGTTTGGCTGGAACTCTTTTATTCTGGCTTAATGAATGGTATATTTTTGTGAGAACGACGTAAAAACGAATGCAGTTGTTTATCATAAAACAAACCTCAAAACCCCTTAGAGGTTCTATTCTCATACCATGTTCAATAACAGGTACTGAGAATTCCAACAATATTATCCGCCAGTTCATAAAGTAAAAATAGAAATGGACTTAATCGGACACGAAGACTGGCTCTCTTCTAGTCCAGATGTAAATCCGTTGGATTAGAAAATATGAAAAATGGAGGAAAAGGCCTCCATAAAGTGTAAAGGCATCCTTGATTACAGCAGCCGCCGATAATCATATGGACCTCGTTAGTACTGCTATAGACAACTGTCCGCGTAGGTTTATTAAGGCTTGTATTCAAAATCGCAATGGTCATTCTGAATTAGGTTAGCTTAAGAATCTGTTTTGAATGGTCATTGTAAAAACAAATTTCAATCATCACAATAAACTATTTCAATTATTTCACAATAAACATATGACAGAACTAAGTATAGTCATTAATTTAAAAAAATCATTTCCTAAATATATATTATATGTATACAACAATTTTTGGGATGTATGTGTATGCATTTATGTAATAGAGGCACCTTTTTAACTCGCTATGAAAAGTACTCAGGAGACAGAACATATTATGCTCTACAAACTCATGGCACGAAGATGGAGCATGCAATATTTCAACTAATGCTTCCAAATTATGTTGAGTTAGAAACAAATTATTGCGAAGTTTAATTAATCCACAGACAGTAGTATCTTATTTTATATCTGCACAGTATTAAAACGATCATTTCAATATAGTGTTGGATGTGATATATGTTTGGCTTGCTTTAGTATGGTTTCGTCAGTTAATTGTAGAGGTTACGTGGCGAGGTACCACGACCTCACAGCAGATCGGCGTGAAGTGTTATACTTCTTCGTTTCGTCTGATGGGTGAGGTAGCCGGGGCCCAATTTATTAAAAGGTGGTGATGACATATATGTAACCCTTCCCTACGGGTGTTGCAATATCCATGGGCGGCGGTTATCACCTAACATCCATCAGGTTAACCGCCAGCGCGCTTGACACCTTCAATTAAAAAAAATCACAATGTATAGACGAAATTCTTGTGATGTCCATTTATGCGTGGCGTGTACGCTTTCAACAACAGGGTAAAGAACATTAACATTAAATAATTTTTATGTTTTAATCACGTCTGATTGTTTGTTTCTAACTGTATTGTTATTTCCATTTCCAATGACAACAGATCAGTTTCCCATTTAATTTTTTTATCATAATCTTTTTGTAAATTTATAGTTTTCACATAAAATTAAAATGTTCATTTTTCAATATATATTCAATTGATAAATTAAAGGTTTTATTGTTACAGACTTTGAAGACTTGTTTGATGATGAAGATTTAAAGTGAAAAAATTGAGAAAAAAATTGTGGGTGTAAATGTTATAAATGCATTACTGGAAAAATAAAGATTTTTATTCATGAGAAATTTATTTTCTCTCTATTAAAACAATTCCAAATCAATGTTATAAATAAAATTTGTTTCAAATGGACACATCGCAATATTTCATGACATTTTTGTATAACATTTACCATATTATGCTTTAAGTCAGCATTTAATGCCTTTTATTGATGGATATACCAATTAAATTGCAGGCTTTAATTTCCTTTACATAAGTACGAAGATATTTCTAAAATTCATGTCATAATATAATTCCAGTTTGGATCCACAAAAATAGTAAAAGTGAAAATAGTCTAATAATTTATTTACCATATTTTTCCTGTTGTACAGTATCAAAATAGAATAAAACGTAGAGCAAAATGTATAAATCAATGTTGAAACAAGAATATGCAAAGCAACTTATTTATAAACAATACCAACTCTGCAACAATACCTAAGTCAATGAAATGTGTCATTACACTAATATGCAAATATGACTACCATGTGGATGTAAATACATTTTTTAAAGACAATTTTGCAGAAGTTAACCAGAAAAAATAAATGAATGAAAGTAATTCAATCAATGTGTGCGCATTGCGTGATTTTCCTATTTGGGATACTTCATATAATGACACATATCATGCCCAGATCAATTAGATAATAGCTAGTAACGAATGTCTTATAAACCGCGTAGTGATTCCATCGCGCTACGGAGCGCGATATCTGGTCGCTAGACATCCACGTCGCTACTGTCTTCACTGTATTCATTGCCCTCATCATCTTCTTGCTCATCTTTTACATCAGTTTCATCTAAGGTTTCGTCTTCATTTTCAACATCGTCAATATCTTCCTCTTCTAATATACTACTTAAAGTAAAATTTTCGCCTCTGCCCATTTCTAAAATTTTTTTAATGCAAAGCACAATGTATTTTTACACATCTAGATGTAAAAATAAAGGTATCAAAGATGAATCTTATATTAATGAATATGACATTTATGCAATGATGAAACTGAGTTCATATTATTTTTAATATGAGTATCAATATAATGAGAGTTCAAGGGGAGGAGGGCTGTTGCCTTAATCACACTTGGCAGGCGTCTAGGGAATCGCAGTTGTAGATGTTAAGTTCACGGAAGACATAATGGTGGAAGGCCTCCCTCTAGGTGGACCGATGATATCGTAAGAGTTGCGGGCAACCAATGGATGCAAATGGCAAAGTGTCGTTGATTGAAAATGGCGTTCCAAGGGGAAGGCCTATGTTCAACGGTAGACGTCTCGAGGCTGATGATGATGATGAGCTTAGTGTCCGGGCCCTCGCTTTTAATTTACAACCTGAGTTAAAATCCTGGTGCCAGCACCAATAACTTTCTAAATTTTAAGTTCGGAATTATCATTATTGTATTGTCCTTTTAAACTCAATCGTTTAACAGGAAAATATACAAAAGAAATAGAAAATAAACTATTAGAGTTTAACAGGACAATATAATATTTTCCTTACTATGCTCACTAGAATAAACTGAGTTAAATTCACAACAACAAAAACAAACAGTTCTTTGCCATGAAGAACAAGCCAGCCCCAAAAGACATGAACAGAACAGTGAGCATATTTTTTTTTGAATTAACCATTATTTGTAAAGCATGATAAGAGATAGGACACTCACTCAATAACGTAAAGCTCTAAATAAAATTTGCATATAGTACACTAGTTTTCATATCCAGTATATGGTGAACAAAAGATGTGGTTCAGTTGAATTAGATCTAAGGCTTCTTCTTTACCAATATTTTCATGGAGTATTGACAAAAATATATAATTAAAAAAAATTAAATATAATTATTTAGTTACATTTAAAAAGCAAATTTCTTTCACAATGAAAGTATAATTAATGATATTACAATGTATAAATTAAAACATTGAAATAACATTAAATATAAAAATACGAAATTACATAAATGTTCTATAGCACATTTCTCACCAGTCTCATGAAATTGTTTCGCATGACAAAGATTTTTAAGTTAAATTTTTAAACAAATACTTACGTTCCACATATAATTCCAATGATTTTGGTACCATATTCTTAACTTTCTTCAAATTTTCTTCTGAACACTCCCCTTTATCTAACCCTGAAAATAAAATTGTTATTTTTGTTACATTATAAATTTATTTTATTATTCAGGATTAATAGTCTGTTTTCCTTATAAGGTAAAATCACAAAATATTTAATTTATCATTGATGTAGAATTTTTAAATTAATTTAAATATACACAATATAAAGCTTACAATTTATATAAGCTTTAATTTACATCAACATTTCAGCATGTTTAAGTCAACTGCTAATCATAGCCCCCCAAGATCCTGATGTTATCAATCTGATCAATTCAGAGAGCTTAAAAATCCTTTTGGCAACTCAAATAACATTTGAAAAGCCATTTGACAACTGATTAGTTAATTTCTACAATGATCAGTGTTTCAGAAACCGGATGTTAATATTATAATTTTTTTTTCAACTTAAAATCCAGAAAATAATAAGAACTGCTCTTTTCGGAATCGCTAATGAGATATTCGATATAATTAATTATAATTGGAATAATTAATTAAGCAGTTTCTCGAGCGCATCTTTTTTTAGTGCTGAGTGTCGGCTACATGCCATCAAAGAGAAACCATATGATGACGGTCGTCAGCTAGCATTGTTGATTATTCAAAAATTCCCCACTTGACTAATAAGTCTGCAAACAATTATTCCGAAAATGGGTTTTTTAATTTCTTTCAAATTGATTATTAAGCATAAGTGGGCGTTTTTATAGTATCAATGAAAATGACGTGAAATCCTAAGGGCTTTTGACTCGATATACAAATAGGCTAAATCTTGTATTAACGAAAGTTAAATTTTCAATGTGGAGACTAGATAAAACTACTGATAAGCTATTTTCCACAAGTTGGGTTTTAAATGACACAGAAATATCTGAAATTATAATATATCTGATATATAGGCTTCTTGATAAAAATCATTTCTATACTTGGTAGTGAATTGTAGAATTCAATTGGTAAAAACAACAGAATTGCTCCAAGCTTATACAGCGTGTCGTTACCATCGCGACAATAAATGAACACACGTCTAACGCTACGAGCCAATAATCATAAAAAAAATATTAACGTAAAACAAAATCCATAATTAAAAAAAAATATTTTTCAAACAAACTAATTAAGTAAAAAAGAAACAAAATTTCTAACATCCTATACAACTCGCGCCACAGCGTCGTATTACAAGCCTCTCCTTCTAACAGTATGTTTTGTCTCTTTTAAATTCATTCAACCCATTCATATGCTTTGTGACCTTTACAAATGAACTTTACATTACGCTTTTATAGGTAAGGATGTTCTAAAATTTTTTGTTTTGGAAAATTTAATAACTCTGTAAATATTGATGTTTAAAGAATTTAAACGTTTAATACAACTTTAAAAACTTATCCCCTATATGTGTTTTCATTTATTGTCGCGATGGTAACGACACGCTGTATATGTTGAGGTTATTTGCTCCTATGCAATATAATAATAATATAATCTACAAAGTATTGTAGTATCAAAATCTTACTATGTATAGTGAGTCAATCAAGATTGTCATGTTTCGCGAGCGCTTTTTACGAAAGGACGAGTTTGTTTCTGTGGTATTTCGTTTTGTTTAGCAAGAAAGATTGGATGATTAGGAATAACCATTTGTTTATTAGACAATGTACAACATCTGAGGGGTAGATGCATTGTGAACTATTAAAAACCAGCCAAGTGCGAGTCGGAATCACACATGAAGGGTTCCATACCATTAACTATAAAAACAGCAACATAATTGTGTCTTTTGTATAATTGCCCCACTTAAATATTTTTGAATCCTTTTTTTTAGTATATGTTGTTATAGCGGCCACAGAAATAAATCATCTTTGAAAATTTCATAGTTTGTGAGATACAGCCTGGTGACAGGCTGACAGATAGCAGAGTCTTAGTAATAGGGTCCTGATTACCCTAAAAAAGTTACATGTCTTAAAAGATTTGTATTATTTTATAACTCACCAAATAAAAGGCCCATTCTCTTTAATATGTCTATGTCATCATGTATCTGGAACCTTTTGTTGAAATTAAACATATATTCTGTCCTGAAAACATAATGGAATAATAAGTTAGAAAAGATAAAGAACCTTCACTAAATATAGAGAACATATTTATCAAATAATACTATTCTGTTATTTTAGTTATGGTCAATACACATTAATAAAGAATTCATCACAAAATATAAACTTTATAAATAAAATATTTTGTCCTCCCCAAAAATTAATTAATGAAGGATTCCATATCTTATTTTACTATCATCATCATCCTCTTGCCCTTATCACACCAAGGTGGGGCTGGCACAACATGTGAATGTAGTAAGCTGTTTTGGCTGTGTTTTTACAACACGCCTGATGTCAAATCTCCTTGAGAAACAAACATCCAGATCCGGAACAATTATCTGTGGGTCATACAAATACTTGTCCCATGTGGGTATCGAAACCACAGCCTCAGACGCAGAAGCCAATAGTTTATCTATAACTAAGAGTCATATATTACTTAAACACCTAAAAATAAGAATTCCACTTACTTGTCATTTGATATACTACAGTCTATCAATGCTTTGTCACTTGTATTTACAACTATAAATGGTAAATGAATGGCCGATGATGGTGATGGTTTGACACCTTTTTTTTCTATTTCTTTATTTCTTTCTATAAGACTTTTAAAAGATATATGCTGAAAAATAAGACAGTCATAAAATTTAATATGTTTTACACAACTTGAATTTAATGTAATCTTAATCATAAATATGTGTGTATATTACAGACAGATGAAATTTTTCTTTATCTTATAAAGTGAAAGGTTAGAATGCAAACGACAATACAGAGAAATACCTGCTTCACACAACTTCCTTTTGAAGATAGAACAATGGATTTATAGAAACATAATATTTAATACAATTATATCTAAGCAAAGAACCCCAGCGCGATTGGATAAAAGAATTATGTTTAATACATTAAAAATACAAAATGAAAATGAACTGTGTCAAAATTTTAAAATTAATGAAATTTATTTCCTTCCTGACATTAAATTAGAAAAAAAAACATTAGTCAACAGTGGAACAATATTACTTGAACTAAAAGAATATGATTTTTAGGTAAAAGTAAAGTAACAGCCTATAATTATATGTCCCACTGTTGGGCAGAGGCTCCCTCTCTAAAGAGGGTATTAGGGCATATGATTTCCCATACATTTGAAATATTTTTATTGTTTCTAAAATATGCAAGTTTCCCATGATGTTTTTCTTCACCACTGAGTATGTAATAAGTTAGCACTTAAAATAAAAAAAAATCATTGGTGCCGGCACCCGGGATCAGACACAGGTTGCTAGAGTATGTTGAATTAAAAGCAAGCACCTGTACTAATGCAACCTGTAATAAATACACCTGTAATGAGCTATGTTTGTACATGTTAAGTTACAGCACCCGGAGGACCGAGCTTTGCTCGGTTTTTTTTCGTAAATCGTGTATTTTGGAAATTACATTTAGATACAAATTACTGAGTAATGAAATATGCATAATATTTTTCTTACCGACGTAATAATAAGAAAATATGAACTGATGTTTTTCACAAAAGAAAGAACTTTAAAAAAAAGGGGAAAAATAACAAAATAACAAATCGACAAAAAATTAAAAATAAAGAAAGCAATGATCTGGAATCGAAAAAAAAGTAAAAAAAAAATGTGTAGATGATCGTGACGCGAACCACGGCCGTCTGTTTTGGGGCCGCCCGATTACCAACAGAGCTATTATGACATTGTCTTTTGCGGCGAAATTTACCGTCATATTCGAACTATATTTTTCATTCCCTGAAAACAGGGATAAAAGGACATTTTCTAAAAATGATACCTAGCTAGATCGATTTTTCGCCCCCGAATCTATGCACATACTAAATTTCATGAAAATCGCTGGAGCCGTTTCCGAGATTCCGATTATATATATATACAAGAATTGCTCGTTTAAAGGATAAGATATTTGTTTCTACATACAGTGTGTCTTTACAATCGCGACAATAAATGAACACACATTTAGAGGATAACTTTTTAAAATTGTATTAAACATTTACATTCTTGAAACATCAATATTTACAGAGTTATTAAACTTTCCAAAACAAAGAATTTTAGAACACCCTTACTGAAAACTGTAACGTAAAGTTCATTTGTAAAGGTCACAAAGCATATGAATGGGTTGAATGAATTTAAAAGAGACAAAACATACTGTTAGAAGGAGAGGCTTGTAATGCGACGCTGTGGCAACGAATGGAAAAGTCTCTGAATGTATGAATCAGTCAGTTGTAGTTGTATAGGATGTTACAAATGTTGTTTCTTTTTTACTTAATTAGTTTGTTTGAAAAATATTTTTTTTAATTATGGATTTTTTTAGGGTTAATATTTTTTTATGATTATTGGCAAGTAGCGTTACACGTGTGTTCATTTATTGTCGCGATGGTAACGACACGCTGTATAAGTCAAAATACTATATCTCGATATTTTACCTGTAATATAAGCTCTTGTAATTGTTGTGTTTTCTTCTGAATCTGTTCTAGTTTTGCCTGCTTTTCTTTCTCTAGTGCTGTGCATTCTTGCACAGAATTTGTTGGAAGTCCAAGCCATCTAATTTCTTTCTTTTCTTTTGATATAATATTCATTGCCATTAACACGTTTAACGCGTCATATACCCTTCGACGAATATTTTTCTGGTCATATTGCTGAAAAAGAGAAAATTAATTTGAAAAATAAAATAAAAAATAAGGTATTATATTATGATTTCATGAAATGATTTCTTTTTTTTAAATTTCACTTTGAAATTGTTTTCTTATTATAAAACTAATATTTCATACTCACAAGTGAATATGGTAGTATGCTATTCAAAGTAGCTGAGTACATGAAATACAGAACATTAACATGCCTAATCTTATATATTATATCCCTGATATATCTTTTAAAAGGGATGTAATATCTTTATTATTACAATCAATAAACTGACTCAATTTAAAAGGCAGAACAATTAAAAAAATATTAGTACTAGCCTGACTGTCTGCAGAACCATGCATTCCAGCTGCGAACTCTAACACTAATTCATCTGCAACTTCATTGTATGAGGTAAAACCCTTATTTCGGACCTTTTCACAAACTTTCATGGAAAAATGCCTTAATCCTTTGCCGACTTTGTCAGCATGCTTACGTCTTTTTGTTGTACTATGAAATGAAAATAAAATTTGATATACAAAATGAATAACATTTAAATTAAAAAAAAAAGCAAACAAACTTCCTGGATTATAAATCATTCTGTTTTAATAAAATTGTATTGTCATGTATGGTTATGGAAGGGAATGGGTAGTAAGTCCTAAGAAACGCTGAAGATTATATGTAGTCTTCTCTTACAGATAGACAGCCTCCCCCAATTCAACAACCCTAGTTAACGGTTGAAAAGGGACTAAGAGTCAGAGCTTCCATAGTTGCCTACTTGGGCCCTCTCATTCTGAAATACTAAAATATTATGATCAATAAATCATGGCATTGAAATCACAAATTATTTGAAACGGTGTCTCCTCGTCAACATCGCCGCATCATTGCCTCGTGAGGGCCCTAATGCGTATACTTACAATCATCAGTTTAAATACTTCGGCTGCATGGGTAAGAGGCCATGGATCAGCTGTTTTGAATGAGTCAGGCATGTTGTACGATGTTTCTCTCATGCCATGGCATCTGGGGCCAGATTTAGACACCCCTAGGATAGGTTCGGCTCCTCGGGTCGAGAACACAAGCCATCCCTTGCCGCTCATCCGCTGCATGCCCCCAAACCCTGAGATCCCTGGCACCCAACCCAGCATTACTGAGTTACGTTAGTCAAAGTTATTCAGGGCGACATTACACAGGGTAATTTCGGTGGACTCCAGCGCCTTCAAGGTAGCTTGGCTAACCAACGTGTAATATTTTCCTACCAGTGTTCCAAGTTCAGTAGTACACAGTTAATTATTGCATACATTTCGGCCTTGAACACCGTGTGGCGAAAAGTTCAACAACCGAGCCTGCAAGATCATCCCTTTTAGAGCCGTCAGTAAACGAATACGTCGTATAGTTTCATTAAGTATTGTTTCGCGATCATATCATCAAAGGGTGTTGCTATGATGGGGTTTTTGATATATCATCTCATAACATTAGAGCGCCATCTTCCCCTACCCGTCTTTAGCGAACGAACCATTGCTGTTTTAGCCTCTTTCTATACGTGAATGTGGAGCGGTGCAATGTTAAGCAGAGCCTTCGTGGCCAGAGTTGGTGTGGATGAGATGGCTCCTGTGATAATCAGGCAGGCCTAGTAAGGCAACCGGGGTCGCGGAAGATTGCGTCCACGTGTTCCCGTGTCCCCGGCCGATGCGATAGAGACAGGTGCAACGTGGGTTTTTTAGTGGGTCCCTGTTTCTCATCGGGACTCCCACATACCGCTGCCACTCCCCCGATTCAGTGTTAGGGGATCCATAAAGGATTTTTCCCACGGAAAAAAAAGGCCTAGTAAGGCAACGTACGTGCCGGTAAGGGTCTTCTCGCACCATAACGACTTGCGCACAGCATACAACTGTAAGTTACCATAGGTCTTATCACTACTTTTAATAAGTCCATAGTTATGCCTAGGCTTCACCTTTTTTTTTGTTAAATTGGGGGAAATGCCTACGCATACTCGCCGTCGCGTGGGCAAGAACGGGTTATGTCGGACTCGAACCGACTAAAACGTCTACGATGTTCCACCTACGCGCATATCGGCAGAGTCACGGGAACGCTTTCGCTTACCTCCGCAACCCTGCCAGCGCTGGCCGCCTCAGCAGCCCCGCCCGGAGAGCAACTCACCTCTCCTCCAGGTAAGACGCGCTGGAATATTCAGTGCGCCTTCCTACTGGCCCCTTTTTCACGGCCAACGAACTCCTCTGAGTTCGCTGAGCAGAGGCCATGGGAGTCAGGAGAGCCAGTGCCAATAAGCAGCAAGCCTCCCAGCCCCCAGCGGCGGACCTGGCCTGTTGCTCTATCACTCAACACGTTTCGGCCGCGGAGGGTAGGGAGAACGGCGCACCGCAATACCGACACTCTTCTCCGTCTACGGCCCCAACATCACTGCATCAGCGCTGCAGCCCCGCCGAGTGGCGAAGGAAAGGGAGCGCAGCCAATGCAATACCGCGACTCCTCTTCCCCCGAGATTCCTCCTCGGTAGCAAAAAAACACAGGGAGAGTGGCTTCTCCTCTTTCCTCGACCGGTCCTCTGCACCCTCTAGCACGCATCCAGAGTGGGCTCAATGAGTCCACTCGGAGCAGCCCTCTCAGGCCGGCCTTACACCACAAGCCGACCCAGTGTGGGTTCCTCTTAGCTTCGCCGTGGCTATTCAAGCCATTAAGCTACTAAGGCAAGGCGAGAACCTGATCGGAGGGGCTTCACCCTTCCACCTTGATCCAACCAGCATGCAACACGTGCCAAGTACGGGTCTAGCCTTTCTGACCACACAGTCAATGTGGATGTTCCATATGAGTTTATGGTTCAGGTATACAACCAAGGTACATGACCTCACATGAAAAATTGACAGTCTTTTTGATAAGGTTAGGGCACCATGTCTGTCGAAATTCTTCTTCCTTGTAGACGGGATTATAACGATTTATGGCATTTACAGATAGTTTTTATCTAACCACCACGATTCAACCATCCTTAGAACATTTTGCATTAAACTTGAAATAGTATCAGGGCATTCACCCAAAATGGCTATGAGAAATTCATTGGCATTTTTCTGAGCTAGTCTAAATGAATTTCCATAATCAAACGATGGACTGTCAACAACGATGGACTAAGCAAGAGTAAGAACAATAGGGGTCCTACCACTCTTCTCTCGTGGACAGTCTCTCTTCACTCTTACGTCACTACTCAGTTAGGGCTCCTCAAGGTAGCTTAGGGCCTCAGGGAAGGAGACCCCGCAGCCTTTAGGCGGAGTCGTGCGATTGATGGCCCACTATGGTGCACCCGTATGGTCTCATCGACTAACGAGCGTCCGAGGCTGCAGAGCTAAGATTTATAACCTTTAGTGAAGCATGGTCTTCAGGATAGCACAAGGACATCGTACCATATCCTTTGAGGCCGCCATTTTCCTAGCTCAGATTCCTCCACGGGACATTCTGGCGGAAATGGATGCGCCGTTCTTCACGGGACGATGCAGAGTCCCTGGATGCGGGAGAGATGTGCAAGCAGGTGAGCACACGGGCAGGCTTGCTGAGAAACCTGCTTGGATGCCACTGGTCTCCTACAGCGAAAATGCCATGGTCCTGAAAGAGATCACCGAGCGGGATCGGCAGAGGGTAAACCCTACTGAAAGACGAAGACTTCGGGCCAGCAGAATCCGTCAGCCAGAACTAAGGTATCCCCTGTCTATCGTAAAAGACGACTTAAAGGAGACATTGGGTTCATAGACTTGCAATAGTGCGAAGTGGTCTTGCTAGTCTATGCAAGATGGTGTGGGTATCGGGGAAGGTTCACGCTTCTCTGAGGTGTGCTCAAGCGCAGTACCGAAGAACATAGGGGTGTTCCGTAGATTATCCCGGAGACCATCCAAACGTCAAAAGGGGGTCACCGAGGGTTTTAGTGGGTACGAACCCAACATAACCTTATCGTGCGAAAGATGACAGGTATTTTTTTAAGATTTCCCACCGAAAGCAAAAAAGTTACCTAAGGAAGCTGACAGTGATACTGGTCTCCATCATATTGGATAACAAAAAATGATAGCAATAGGCATATCATTGGACCGATCGGAGCGTTGAACTTTTATAGGGTCGGGTGCACTAAGGCCGTCATACAAGAATTTGAAACAATATCTAGCAAGTAAAGACTCCGGAATTGGTACCGGTCTTAAATACGCTTTAAGACCGGTGCATAATCAAGAAAAAGAGTACCCAAAACGTAGGCTTTTCTTTTACGGTGTACATCAACGAGAGATCTCCTTAGTGCAGAGAATTTCTCTGAACGGCTTTGGCGAGAGAATACGAAGCATGATATTCCGAAGGCGACCTGCCTTCTCTCTCTCGCCAATTCTCCTAATGTGCTCTGCACATGCTAATGCGACAGCTCTTTCTAAGGACCTAGAGGCAAAATTGTACTCCTTTTTAAATAGTGCGAATATTATAAAGGTCCAATAGTGAGCGCGAATCATCCAACACGTCTAGAATATACGTCGCTATCTCCATGCAACCATAAGGTGGTCCGGTCCATACCTTGAAGATTGCAGAGACGAAAGCAGATGTCTTCTCTTACATATACACAAATCCCGATCCCCGGTAAGAAGGAGTTCTTGAACTTGTATCCCGGGTAGGAAGATAAGATGTGTCGGCCGTAGATGATATCTTAATCTCGGTAAGAAACAGCAATGCCGGATTTGTCTTATATATGCGTGGAGCAGCCTGAACGTCCGCGTCCAGTTATCTGATCGCAGTCGCCCATTACAGGATTCTCCAGAACCGCTGTAACTGGGTTGGTTTTTTAGGGTTCCATACCCAAAGGGTAAAACGGGATCCTATTACTAAAACTCCGCTGTCTATTTGTCTGTCCGTCTGTCATCAGGCTGTATATTATGAACCGTAATAGTTAGACAGGTGAAATGTTCACAGATGATGTATTGCTGTTGCCGCTATAACAACAAATACTAAAAAGATGATTGTTTGATGTTTTTATAGATACGGTACGGAACCCTTCGTGCGCGTGTCTGACACGCATTTGGCCGGCTTTCTTTTAATAGCGCTACCACATTGAGGAGGATGCGGGTAGGCCTCTGGCAAACTTCCTAACGAAATGTTCATGCTTTTGTTAGGCAGGGGTACGCTCATTCAGCAATGGAAAAAGAGGATGTGTGGCTCTACCACATATAATATGTATGATTAATTAAAAATATGACAAAATATCGAATATTAAGGCTTGAAAAGTTGATATATAACAGATTTTTTTTAAAATCAATACAGTTTACCCATATTATAATAAATACAAGGAATGAAATAATAAATCTATAAACAAAGATTAACTTACTATTCTGCTGGTGGATCATTATCTGAATCATGTCTTCTTCTAGATGCATGTGACATACTTGATGATAAAACACTAGATTTCTTAGTGGTTTTAGCTGGAGATTCAAGTTTAGCCAATATAGGTTCTAAATTTGGTACAGACTGAACAAATTGATAATCCGATATGTGATCCTGGAATGTAGGCAAAAATATATGTAAAGCACCAAATATAACCTAACTAGTTAGAATAAAACATCTAACTTGATTGACAGACAGAGCTCCATTCAAAAGATGATGAAAGTCAGTATTCAAGAATAGTGTGAAGAAGGTGAGTACTTGTTACAGTTTTAGCCCTTTTGAATTGTTAATTAAAAACATTTATAATCTTTTTTATTAACTTGATATGTTTTGCATATTTTATTATGAATTTAAATAATTATAAACATAATTTTTTCAGGGAAGAATAGATAGATACCTGAGACTCAACTTCTTGAGGTTCGGTCTTAGGAACAACTTTTTTCAAACGATCTAATGTGTCAACAGGAACCTGCACAAGCTCTAAATTGAAAAATAAACAGTTTGGCATTTTCAACTATTATATATTGGCAACTATTATACATAGCAAAAAATATGAATTTAATAGCTCAAGGTTGCAATTACACACTTTACTTATGGATACCATTAATGAATATTTCTTTATTAAAATGTTAAATATTAGTTACTATGTTTAACTTACTTGACGCACATTTAATACTCTTTATATTAATTGGACGAAACACTGGAGCCTAAAAAAATTAATAAAATAATATTTCTTGCACTATGGTGCTTCAAATATTATCATTATTTTGTCTAATGATATGACCATTAGGCAAAATAACGATATTATTTAAACACTAGATATTATTAGCTTCATGCAATTTTCCTTTATATTTATATTAGAAAATCTAAGACAAAGCTTTATGTATAATTTGTAAAGAAATGGAAGTTTTCAAGCTTATATAGTACATTAAATTAATCGTTTGTTTTAGCCAACTACCTAAACACCATCAACTTGAAAGAGGGAATTAATTATAAGGCTTTTTAAACATATGCCTACAAAAGGCCATGTTTGTGTACATTTCCAAATTAAATCCTAATATATCCATCCCTTTACAATTACATATCAGTTGAGACTCAATAAGGAAACACAATTTCTAAAAGTAAAAATACTTGTAATCAGTGACTTTTTAAAAAATTGATTAGAGGTATTTCAAAATAACTCTTAATAATATTGTTAGGTTCATCAGGATAGGTACCACAACCTCACAGAAGACCAGTGTGAAGTAGAATTGTTACATTTCAGAGTTTTGTCTGTGAGGTGGTGATGCATTAGTAACTATATGGGTGTTGCAAATATCCATGGGTGGTGGTTATTACTTAACATCAGGTGAACCTTCAGCTCGCTTGCCACAAACAAAATAAATGTTACCTATTCACAGGTACTATTTTATTTTGTATACAAACCAACCTGTGGGTTTCCTTCTGCGCTCGTTGGTAGCTTGATTACTTTAACTTGTTTCGATTTCAGTTTGATTTGAGCAATAGATTGAGTAGTTGAATTTTGTAATACTTTAACCATTTGTGGCTGTCCTAAAAATAATTATGTTGTCATTTCTTATTTTTTAAATCTGTAACTAACGAATGTTTATGTCCATTGAAAAATACAAAGATAACGTAAACAAATAGACAGAGCAAAAGATTTCACCCACATAACACCCTGGGAAAAAGTTTGACGCCTAACTTGTTTATATCGTTACACTAATTTGGCTAACAGTAATGTGTTAACTGTGTTAATTAAAAAGAAATTATAAACGAAAACGACGAAATTGAACGTTACTACTTACTAACCATTGGCGTCATGTATAAGGAAATTTACTATACTAGGTTTCTGGGACATTTTCTTCGTAGTCCTCCCAATGGATATCCATTTACATATATCACAAAAGCAACTCTAAGAAGTGAAATAACGAAAATTAACTATTTCAATTTAACTTGCATAGTCAAAATGGCGACAACATATTTAGTATATATTTGAAGGTCAGAAATTGCGATAATTTACGTTCTATAAAATAAACCACCTAATTTTTATAGCGTCTTGGACCCTCTCACAAAATAAAATCACTATAATTATCCAGTCATAATATCTAACAGTCAAATTATAAACAAGCACTTCAAGAAAGTCAACGATGACCGCCGCCGGTCTCAAATTTACCAGCTGATTGGATGACGCCTGTTCACGTGTATATCCAAAACCAGAAACCCCCGCCGGAATTTATTTCCGGAAAAGGCGCGAAACTATAGATGAGAATGCAGTGACATCTGTCGTAAAGCAATGCTAATCTAATCTATAATTTACCATAGACACAGTACCTAGTTCACCTTATAATTTCACCTTACCAACACAGATTATTGACAGAAATAAATAAAATAAGAAATTATACTAAGGAGCATCGGAACAAAAACCGATATATGACATTTTGGCAGATTTTATACGGGAATCAGTAGATTACGTACATATCTATAAACATCTTGTACCAAATCTATTTATAAACGACTAAACCATCTTCAAAAACTATCTCAAAACACACTAATCTGAACATAAAACGATAAATCAATATTTCATATCTGGAACATACTATGACAAATCCTTAGAAGTTTACATGGGTCATGCATAAAGTTGCTTAAAAACCGACATATCCATTTCCAAAGATTTATAGGATAGGTACATGGGCAAATTAAATTAATGGGTTAATATTGGAGTTTAAAGAATGTTAAACGTTTAGAAACATTTTATAAAAAATCTAGAAGGAATGCGAGATTTAAAACGAATTCATCTAAAAATATGATGTTATTCAAGAACGAGGATCAATGAGACAAACTAAACCTCTGATGAGCTGAAAGTGTTCCGAAATGTTATTAACAAGTCTGTTTAAAGTAGACGTAAGAAGAAGTTGCTTCGCGCAGTTGAAAAGATACTTTAGATGAAGTAATGACCGAGGCAAAATGTTTTGGAGGTGGTGGAATGTCAGTTAGGTGATTTCAGTCGGAGAGAAGAGGATCAAACTGTCAATAAAGATTTATACACGGGTAAGGGAAAAGAAATTCATTAATAGTAGCAAGGGAGTATGTTTCCGACGTGGTGGCTGGAACTATCTAGCTTATGATAGGAAGTGCCCCGCTAAAGAAAAATATGTAGCATGGCGAAACAATGAAAGTACAAAGTAGAAAGCAGTGGAGGTGCGAGGGGGACCAAAGAAGTTGAGCTGAAGAGTTGAAAGCATGGGGCGGCTGAGCGCGATGGAAGAAAGAGAGGTTGAATTGATTGAGTTTTGACGCTATCCATACTCACTTATGTTGGAACTTAGGTGGAAATGCTGATTGATTCAGGATGTCGACACAACTTAATGACGGACAAGATATGGTTAGGCAATAGGAAAGAGGAAATTGAGGACAGGAAGAGACGAAAAAAAATCATTGTTGCGTACAGAAGTGAGTTCCCTCTGAAGTTATTGACGATTTTTGACATAGATATCCATTATAGACATAGATTTTGAGATAGATCGAGAACGCGACAAACGGTTACAGGAGGTAATTGAAACATTAGGTGTGAGTGAAATCGTGTTATTATATGATAAATGTATCTACGCAGGAGTTCGACCACTGGACAAAATAATGTATCGGCTATAAAGAGATTTCGGAATTAAATAGATTTTTTAGGGCTTATTAATTAAATTGGGAACTGGATTCCTAATAAGGCAACCCCTACAGAACTATTGAAGTAGTTCGTCAAAAAAAATAATAATAATAAAAACTTGCATTCGTCAAACCAAAAAATATAATTTTTGCAAGACACCAGCTGATCACCTCAAAACAAGAAAACGGGGAAATAATTCCACAGTTTATGCATAAATTAAAACTACAAAGTCTGGAATGTGAATTTGCATCAGTGTCGGCTGAAAAATATAAAAAAGAGTATATAAGAGCCGCCTTCATTTCTGGTATTTCATGTAATAATATCAGACAGAGATTATTAAAAAATTTATCACTTTCTTTAGATGAAGCATATAACAAAGCAGTATCATTGGAGCTAGCGAAGTCTACTGCTCAAGAATATCAGATCAATCCAATAAATGCTTCACAATCACAAACTCATTTTAAAAATCATGAATTTTCGTCGGCTTATTAGAAAACTTTATACAATCGAAAGAAATGTTTTTTTTTTTGTGGCGGAAATATACACGTGCGTTCAAATTGCCCTACAAGGAATGTGATTTGTCAAATATGTGTTATAAACGGACATTGGGCCAAAGCATGACGTAACTCAAAAAAATCTGTAAATGCCGCAATGGAAATAGATGACATGGACGCTATAGCTTCTGTCATAGCTGCATCACCAGCATGCCTTGGTAAAGCAATTGTAACTGTAAAAATAAAGGGGGTAAATGCACAGGCTTTAATCGATTCAGGAAGTTCTAGAAGCTACATTAATAGTTAATTTTTTGATCGATGTTTAATAGAAGAAGAATTTTCAGAGAAAGTGTATTCAGTAGAAGGCCAGTGTATTACGTAAATAAGCATAGGAAATCATATTTATAAAAATATAAAATTAATTATTGTAAAACATCTATGCGCGGATATTATTATTGCTCATGATGTATTAAATCAACATTGCAAAGTTCAATTCCAAGAGCAAAACTTGAAATTTGCGGAGTAACCGCAGCTACGACTCCTCCAGTATTAATTTTTTATAACTTATCGTCGATCTGTAAACCTATAGTCACTAAATCTAGACGTTTTTCTAAAGATGATTTAAAATTCATTGCTAATGAAATTCAGGAATTGATATTAAATGGTATTATTGAAGAAAGCAGCTCTCCATGGAGAGCTCAAGTTCTTGTAATAGAAAATAATAATCATAAAAAGCGTTTTTGCATTGATCATTCACAAACTATCAACAAATATACTTACTTAGACGCTTACCCATTGCTAAATATAGAGACAATTGTACAAGATATTGCTAAGTACGAATTATTCTCAAAGATTGACTTAAAAAGCGCGTATCACCAAATTCTGATCCTTGATATAGAAAAACCATTAACTGCTTTTGAAACAGTCGGAAATTTATATCAATTTTGTAGAATTCCATTTAGAGTTACTAATGGTGTAAGTAGCTTTCAAAGAACTACAGTCTGGATAATACGAACGGAAAATCTACAATCTACGAATAAAGACGAACGTCTGCTGTCAAAAAGTACAATATTACTATAAATGAGAAAAAAATTACATTTTCAATTAAATGTATTTTTATTCTTGGATATAACATTAATAATAACATTATCACTCCAGATTTAGAAAGAATCAAACCTCTACAAAATTTGTCAATTCCAACGGATGCTGCTTCGTTAAGAAAGGCAGTCGGAATGTTTTCACATTATTCTGAATGGATACCGAAATTTTCTGAAAAAATTTGAATTATTATAAATAACAATGATTTTCCATTGAACAATGATGCAGTAAACGCTTTCGAAAGTTTAAAACAAGAAATAATTAAGTCATCTGTTCACGCCATTGAGTGCAAAATCCCATTCACTGTCGAAACAGATGCATCAAATTTCACAATCGGAGCGACACTTTCACAGGAAGGGAGACCTGTTGCTTTCTTTTCAAGATCACTTACGGAGTGTGAAAGAAAACACTCAGCAATTGAAAAAGAAGCATATGCCATTGTAGAATCAGTCCGTAAGTGGAGACATTTTCTAATAGGACGAGAATTTCGTTTAATAACTGATCAAAAATCACTATCATCCATGTTTAACACCAATCATAATAGAAAAATTAAAAATGACAAGATTATGAGGTGGCGCCTGGAGCTCTCTTGTTTTAAATATGACATTATATATCGACCTGGGAAAGAAAATGTTGCAGCGGGTTCACTATCTCGAATGTGAGCATCTGTTCATACAGAATCTAAACTATTTTCTTTACACGAATGGCTTTGTCATCCTGGAGTGACTCGAATGTTTCACTGGGTGCGATCTAAAAACTTACCAGACAGCATTGATGATATACGACAAATGACACGAGGCTGTAAAATCTATATAGAAATAAAACTTAAATTTTGCAACAGCCGCGGAATATTAATAAAAGCTACAAGTGTATTTGAAAGATTAAACTTTTTAAGAACTTTTTTACTGAAAGATTTTAAAGGATCTCTACTTACAAATTCAAATATGATTCAAATATGATTCAATAGTGAGTACATACTGATTTTAGATGTTTTAGATTAGACGAATATTCAAGATTTCCATTTACATAACCCTGTGAAGACACATCTACATCGAGTATTATTAAGTGTTTGACAAACTTATTTTTTATATTCGGCATACCCTCATACATACATTCTGATAGAGGATCATAATTTATGTCTCATGAGTTAAAAATCTATTTACAAAGTAAAGGTATAGCTACAAGTCGAACAACATCGTATAACCCGCAAGGAAATGGGCAGGTGGAAAGATTTAATGGCACGTTGTGGAAGACAATTCATTTGGCTTTAAAAACAAAAAAATATGATATAAGCCAAAGGGAGAGGATATTGGATCACTCATTGCATTCGATTAGATCATTACTTTGTACAGCTACTAATGTAATACCTCACGAAAGAATGTTCAGGCATAGTCAAAGATCTGAAAACTGTTCAACATTATCAGCGTGGTTGACGGTGCCAGGGCCAGTGTTTATGAAAAAGCTTAATCGGGCTTCAAAATATTCACCTGTAGTCGAGGAGGTAGAGCTATTACAATCAAATCCTGATTTTTCATATGTCCATTACCTGATGGAAGGGAAGAAACGGTATCTAACAGACATCTAGCGACTCTAGATACATCGGAGTTTATCGAAATTGCTATGGAAATTGAAGAAAATAATAATAAAATAGACCTGCCTAGTGAAAATATACGAGAAGAAGATAATGAACAATGTAGAGAAGTAATGACAATGGAGCGGTTAGAACTAAAAAGCGGCCAGAATATTGAAAAGATTGTTACTTTTAGTAGATAGGGTAAATGATATAATACTGGCCATTCGCCATAAATGTAAACATTATTTTTAAAATTATTCTTTTTAATGTTCCTTATTACTGTCACAATCGATCTTACTTATGTATATATTTTCTATATATATTTTTATATTATTTACCGTTATTTCAGGGTTTGTAAATAATAACGCATTAGCTACGTCAAACAAAAGTTTATGAATCGAGAAGAGACGTGAAAACCGTAGATAGTCCAACTAAAACATACACGTGCTCACTTCAGCTAGCCAGTGCAGAAAGTAAGGTTGAATAATTCTTTAATCAACAAACATGATATTTAGAGCTTGTGTAGGACTCATGTGACTTGCTCGGCTACGCTTGCATGTTTTTTTTTGAGTATATTTTCTATGATGCATTTTTTATGAAATGTAAGTTAGCACTACGGCTTTGGTTCTTTGGCTACGGTGGACGAAAGACAACCGATGGACTTAAAATCAAAGAAAAATATCATCATCATCATCATCATCAGCCGCAAGACGTCCACTGTTGAACATAGTCCTCCCCCTTAGAACGCCACAACGAACGACACTTTGCCATTTGCATCCACCGGTTCCCCGCGACTCTTATGATGTCGTCGGTCCACCTAGAGGGAGGCCTTCCAACGCTACGTCTTCCGGTTCGTGGTCGCCAATCGAGAACCTTTACTCCCCATCGGCCATCAGTTCTTCGAGCGATGTGGCCTGCCCACTGCCACTTCAACTTGCAGATCCGGAGAGCTAATCAGAAAAATATAGCTGGTGGATAAAATATAGCATAATGATGACACGATGAACCGTCTACTCCATTTCGATACCTGGATTCCTGCATACGAGAGATAAAAAATTATATAAACGGAACCCTCCCCGGGTTTCGAGGGCACGACATGATCCGATCAACTTTCCCCATACACCGAGATAACTTTAAGTAATACAGAAGGCATAAGGTAATGACGAACAAAAAAACGTCGACTTTATATTACAAAAATATAGGTGAGAAACATTCAATTACTCAGCGCCATGTCCACTCTACGCAGGTAGCCGAAATTAAGATGCTGTGGTGGATGTACGGTGTAACCATACTCGTCAAGATATGCAATGAACACATTCGCGGCAGTCTAGGAGTTCGTGACATCGCCGACTAGCTTCGAGAAAGCCCAAACCAGCGCAATCTGCTGGTTTGGGCATATTAAAAGTAAACCTCCAGATTACATAGGAAATGTAGTAACCAATCAAAATATTCCGAGATCTAGACCCAGAGGACTACCCAAAACCAGGTGTAGTCAGAAAAGATCTACGTTCCTGCAACGTTACTGAAGATGCCGCGTCGGATAGAGCTAAGTGGAAGTTGCAAGAGCAAGAAGGTAGACCATCAGATGAGAATAATCATTGCACAGTTGAGAGAGAGAGAGAGAGAGAGAGAAAGAGATCAGATCAGAAAAGAGAAGCATTCCAGTTCCCTGGGGGTTGATGCATAATATATCGAACTAGCACAACCTCCCACGTGAGTCGTGTACGATAGGAAGAGTGGTCCAACACAAAATACAACTCTTCTGTCACGACTTCTTCGCGATTGATGAGCATTTCAACATTGTTGTCTTGTGATGATATTGCAATTACTTTTTCTGGATACGTTTTCGGTTCAAACCTTCACTTGATGGTGTTTTGGATTGTCTCCTTTTTCTCCAAATTGCCTTCAACAAAATATAGGTACAAAAATGGTATTAACTATAATGGAAAAATAATTACACTGGACAGTAATTATTATTAAAAAAAATATCACATTGAAGCTGTAACGATGAATAGGCTGTATGGGGAAACCTTACAAAGTATAGTAGGTATTAAAAAAATTCTAGTCAAAGTTGACATATTGAATTAATCACAATTTTTTATCAAAAGTCACACTACTATCAGCATCAGGCAAATATTTAGAGATTTGGCGCTAGAGTCAGCATTTGATTTCGATATTTGTATGTTTTACTGTGAAATTACTATTGTAAATTCACTGGAATTATGTTTTAAAGTTGTAACAAGTTACAGTGATAACTATATAGTTTTTGCGAAAATGTATCTCATAGAAATTATTACATTTCTTTCACTGTCATTAAATTTTGTTGATTTAATAGAGCTCAATGACATAAAAGTTCCTCCAGAACACATGGGGTATGTTTTTAATATGTTTCCCAACTTAGTCGAGAATTGCAAAGCTGACCCTGAATGTCAATACAAAAATATAATCGGGAAAAATGTTTGTTGGGGATATGAGTTTGATTGCAAAAAGAATTCATCATACCACGTGAGACCTCGTTGCCCTGGTGACCATAGGGGCTGGGTCAAAACCAAAGAGGCCCAATATGATACATTTTACACGCAAGCAGATTTTGGTAAATTATTTCTTTAAATGTATATCTATGTGACATGAAAGAAAAATAAAAATATTTGTAAATATTGTTATGTCAAGATTCCTGTTTATAATTCCAGGCTATGTGAAAGATCAAATAGAAGAATTACAAGTTATGTGTGAAGCTTCTTATCTTCATGACAGCTCTTTAGAATGTTCAAAATATTTAAGGTACTAGTTTAAGTAACTTTATACTGTATAGGGTTTTTACTACTGCTTGAGTTTAATTTAAAGAAATTAAAAGAATAGTGATTTATTTTTTTGGTCAATAAATAGATATGTGAAAAGAGAAGATAAATAGATAAGTCTAAATAATCTATATTTTTCAAATTGATTAGTGACGAGAGAAGAAATTGAAGAAAAGGAATTGAAAGGAATTTGCATAGAATTTAATATTAGTTCCTTAATGAGTTCTCTGTGTGTTTTTAATATAAATATCTTCTATTGTTATAGTCTATAAATAAATGAAACTAATCTGAGTCTCATCAGTATCATTTGTTGGTTATAAGATGGGTACAAAAATAGCAAAGAAGAAAGACTAAAATAAACATGTGGGTTTGCTTACTGTTCTAATCTGTTATTTAGATTGTTTTTGAGATTATACAATATCAACTTAACTTCAAAGCACTCTTTCCAACCAAAGTAAAGTAAAGTAACAGCCTATACATGTCCTACTGCTGGGCAAAGGTCTCCTCTATACAGAGGGTATCAGGACCACCGTGCGGCCCCACTGCGGATTGGCGGACTTCACATTATATTTGATTTTTTTTGTTATTATTTCGAAAATATACAGGTTTCCTCATGATGTTTTCCTTTACCGCCGTGCATGTGATAAGTCAGCACTTAAAGTTAAAAACTACATTGGTGCTGGCACCGGGGATCGAACTTGGGTTGCTCGAGTATATTGAATTAAAGGCCGGACACTGAGCTGTCACGGCTCTCCAACCAAACAGAAAACCTAAAACAATTTCTTTTGTAAATCAATAGTGAGATATACTAGTACTCTTCCATTATGAATATTATACAAGGCAGCATGGCACTAGAATGCACCAAAAAAACACTTAATGTATTTTAGTGTAACATTTTCCAGATTTTGCCGAGGTAGAAATATAATGCTGAACTTTACGGGGTTGATTGGCCGAGGTGATAACTTGCGCTATAAAATGGATATTCTGGCTGATGGACAAATTGGTATGTTTTTAAGGAAAATAGAATTCATAATACAAGTAAAATAAATAAATTATAATCCTTTCCTCCAGCGCACATAGTGATGAAATTTGAAACTTTTATTATTATGTTATATGCCATAGGAACATTAAGGAAAAGTTATTTTTTAATTAATATTCCTAAATAAACCTATTTAGGTTTTGCTATTAATTAGATCGCGATATTCGATTTGGCCCATAACTATTGGTGATACTAGTTTATATGTATGTAAATTATCTATTGATTTTACTCTTCAATTATTTTTTCTATTATAAAAACATTGCCCTTACTTTAGGATAACATTATCCTGTTTTAAAGATGGTTTACAAACATAAATTTCACGTGGACAAATGCCCAGATGTGAAACAACTATCTGTGGATTACAAATGGTTGTCCCGTGTGGGGATCGAAGCCACGACGCCATAGCTCATTTGACAAGCATCCTTGACAACTGTGTGACGGAGTCATAAAAATTTCTTTTTCAAAATCATACACACATTATTTTATAAAGCCTGCCTGCGTCCGTCTTTCCGTCCGAATACAACGTTAGCGTCTTCAAGGCAAGAGTGAATAGGTTTCTACTGAGCTAGCGCGCTTACCATCAACGGCTGCATCGCCACTTACCATAAGGTGGGATGGCAGTCAAGTGCTAGCCAGTTTTTGAATTAAAAAATTAAAAATTATATTGATTTACAGGTGGATATTGTAACCTGTATAAGGAAAGGCTTAAGGAGGAAGCGGAACATATGAGCGCTCTACAATCGTGGGCTCCTGAAATGGTAAACTTTGTGAAAACGTCATACAGACCAATCTATGACGATGTCTGTGATATTGTCATTGAAAAACCAACATATATAATGAAACTTGATGCCAGTGAGTTATACATTTCTAACTTATATTTTTTATAATTACGTAATTTATAAAAAATCTAAAAAGGAACGATATTGTTTAAAAGCATTTAATTTTATACGGTATAAAGTGTCAAGAGCTAGGGGTTCGAAGAGTTTATAGAGACTAAAAACGTGCGCGGCGACCCTCTTGATACCGCACAAATCGTTCACTTTTACCACTCCACGTACACTTTTAGTGGTGCGATCGCCTTCATTGCATGAATCCTTCCCGTAAGCTTGAACACCTTCTCACTTGTACTACACTTTTCTATTTGCTCCCTCTATGAGTTCCATCACTGAACTGTTTACTATAGTAGTAGTAGGAACTACAGTGTTATTGGTCGAATTTCCATTATCTTCGTCTAAAACGTTCTGGAAGCGAGTTAAATTTCGTCTTGCATACAGTTTTCTGGAATTAGGGTCTAACTTTTAATTGTCTGTTTAATAGAAAGTTCCGGAATAACAACCTCTTTTTGGCCTTTGCTAATAACAAAAGGTTATTAAATTTCTTTTTAGTTTTGAAAATTAAGTTTTAAAGGTTTTACCAAATGAATAAAAAAATCATTAATAAAAGATTATTTTAAAATGGCTTCCATTTTCTGCTGAATATTCTGCTTCAATTGCCGCAATGTTGTTGAATTGCTTTTTAAGGTGTCCTCATAAAAAACAAGTCTTATGTACGTTTGGAGGGACTCCGGGATCTCGTACGGAACGCACCGGTGTCGGTACTCCTCGGAGAAGGATAAACCTTACTAGTTTCCCTCATCTTGCAACAACTCGAGACCACTTCGCACTGCTGCCAGTCCGTGTTCCCATTTAGTCGCCTTTACGACAGGCAGGGGATACCGTATTCTATGATCCCGAGACTACAGGGCTGAGGCGATACAACCCTTGTGAACAGTTCAGTTTCTTAGGAAGCGGACGGGCGGATAAGAACATGTACGGGAATATCCCGTACATGTTCTCATTCGAAGTAGGTTTTTGTTTATTATTCAGAGCTCATTGTTTGAGCGCTCAATAATTCAATATATTCGATCCCCGGTGCCGGCAACAATGAAATTATTGATTTACGAAGGAAAACATCGCGAGGAAACCCGCATATTTTTCGAAATAATAACAAAAAAAGAATATTTCAAAGAAATGTGTAGTCCGCCGATCCGCAGTGAGGCCGAGTGGTGCCGTGACTATGCCCTGATACCCTATGTATAGAGGAAGTCTTTGCCCAGCTGTGGGACGTATATAGGTTGTTACTTAATTTTACTTTACGTTTTATTCACTAAATTGTTTATGTGAAAATGTTCATTTTACACTTATGTGGAAGGGCGTTACGCAGAAGCATGGACAGGCTCTCCGGGGAAGTTCCACTGCTTCATAGGCCCGGGCCTACTTTTTTAATAGTTCAGGTGAACCGCCAGCTCGCTTGCCAAATATTCACATTAATCAAACATTTGATAAGTCAATATGATTGACGAAGTGAAAGCGTCGAACGTTTCATTTGCGAAATTTAATCTAGATTTAAAGAAGATGCTATCATTTGTATACCCTATAAAATTTTGCATTGTATATTTGCAAAACTCGCTACGAAGTGGACCTAAACACATGTAGTCTAGAACGTTAACGACTCATTAATCTTTGATTCGCGCGTAAAGGTTCTCGAACTTGCTGAATGATTGCGTCGTCTCACTCTTTTGCCGTTTTATTTTGAAATTACTAAAACTGCTGAATAAAATTAGGCACTCGGCCACTCACGAGGCGCCATAACTAGAATTTTACAAGAAAAGTGCGTCGAACCGTCGCATAAGACCGAAAGCTTTCGTAATAGGCACCAACGCGCGCTGTGTCATTGTAAAATGCAATGACCGGGTTATTAACTCGCCCTATTCTTTTTAAAAATTGCTGAATGAAATGCTGATATATTTCTCATTTTCAATATTTCCCCTTAAACCAAATTGCTTTAGAGCTTTTTGCTTGAAATTAGTCTCATTAAGGGATGTCACTTAGCATTTTCCTAACATCATAATATAGGTATAAAAATAATATAAATAGAAGAGTGATGAGTATGAATGTGGTTGGAAGGTGTAAAGCATACCGATTTAGATGAACTGAAGAGTGATATGTCTGTGAACGAGTATATTATGTCTGTGAAAGGGGTTAGTATTGATAGAGGAAAGTGGGAGGAAAGGACGTGTTGTGCCAACCCCACCTAGTTTAAAACACAAGGGCAGGAAATAGAGAAAGAAGAAGATGACTCTGGCCATGACTTGTACTCATTCAGAAATAGATTCCAATAGTCACAATAAGTTTAAAATTTAGACTTTTTTAAAAGCTTGGTATTAAAATTAAAACTTTTTGGCGTTTCGTAAGTCGTTTGTTGTTTACACTGTCGACTATGAGAGAAATGGTTGTTTCGTTGAAACATCATTTTGGTCGTCCTTGATAAAAGCATAAATTATCTTACTGTGAGTGTTGAGCTTTGCACCTGCTTCTACTGTTGCACGAATAGGTACCGCTTATAGCCGAAAATGATACACCTCATTGTTCATACATTTTTCAGTAGACAATTTCGCTAGCTATCTGAGCTATGGATAATCTAATAATAAAATACAATTAACCCTAATTATTTTTTAAGTATTGACTAATGACGTCCTCAGCGGTGACGGAAAACATCATGAGGAAACTTTATATTTGCGAAATAATAACAAAAAAAAATATTCTGTAGTTCCCATCCAAATATCCATCTAATCCGCAGTGGGGTCGCGTGATGATATGGAACTGAATTTATTTGAACAAATGAAACATTGTTAAATTTGAATATTAGTAATGTATAAGATGTTGTACTATCGCGTAACACTGTTTTAACACTAAATGGTTTTTGCACGTATCACGAAGTTATAATAACAATATATGAAAGGGTTTTTATGTATAATTACAGCAGTGAATATGTATCATCATTTCTGTGATTTCTTCAACTTGTACGCATCACTTCACGTCAATTCCACTCATCCTTCTACTTTCTCAAGAGACAATCACATTCTTATCTGGGAGACTTTTACGTATGATTCTGCCTTTAAGGATGCGTTCAAAGCGTTTACGAAGAATAGTATTTGGGATTTGAAAAAGTTCAGGGGAAAAGTAGCATGCTTTCGTAATGTTGTATTTCCCCTATTGCCAAGAATGATATTTGGTTTATTCTATAATACTCCGTTGGTAAGTAATGTTCACATATTTCATAATCACTTTTAAATCATTATTCACATTTAGTGTGTTTATTATACGAACCGAAGGAATATTATCACTATGTACTGTTCATATATGCTGCAGTGTCCTTACAAAACATGGAAAAACTTAGAGCTTTTATAAAACGTCATAAGCTTTAGTTAAATATGCAAAATTATAAAATGAATAGTAAGTAGTCTTCAATAATAATGAAATCATGCAAACTGCTTTTAAACTAAAATTCTCTATTTCTCAATCTGGTTATAAAACTGTTTGCAGTGTGAGGTATGTTATGATTAGGATTAGGCCATATTACCTTGAATTAAGTGGAACAAGTACGCACTTGTTCCACTTTTGTATTACTTATTCATTTATTCATATTAGTTTCACATTAACGTTTTCTTTCAGATATATGGCTGTGAGAGGAGTGGCCTATTCCACGCATTTTCAAAGCATATTTTACACTCGTTAAATATAAAACCACATGTTCGAACCAACGATAAGATAAGAGTGACATTACTGTCTAGGGGCACCACATACAGAACAATACTCAATGAAAATAAAATTGTCGAAGCTTTAATGAAAGTAAAAGGGTACCACGTCCAGCGTGTTGTATACGACAAAACCGTGCCATTTGTTAAACAATTGGAAATAACTCACAACACTGATGTATTTATTGGGATGCATGGTGCTGGTTTGACTCATCTTCTATTTTTACCTGATTGGGCTGCTATATTTGAGGTGTAAGTATTTTGATGATATACTTTTTTTTTCTGAGAGCCGTGACAGCTCAGTGTCCGGGCGCTTGCCTTTAATTCAATAAATCGAATTAAAGGCGAGCCTTCGAGAAACCTCAGTTCGATCCCCGGTGCCGGCACCAATGAAGTTTTTAACTTTAAGTGCTGACTTATCACGTGCTCCGCGGTGAAGGAAAACATCGTGACCTGCATATTTTCGAAATAATAACAAAAAAAATATATTTCGAAGATATGTGAAGTCCGCCAATTCGCAGTGGGGCCGCGTGGTGGACTATGCCCTTGATACCCCTCTGTATACAGGAGGCCTTTGTACAACAGTGGGAAATGTATAGGCTGTTACTTTCCTTTTACTTCTTTTAGCCCGTTTAGAAAAATTATGAGAGTAAAATTTTTATGATGCGTCTGCACATCGACCGACAACCCAACTTAAAAAGCGACATGATGCTTGGTAATTAATTTAATCTTGGCAACCCATAAACACTTTTTGACATTTACAAATAACCCAGTTATTTGAATAAACCGTTATCAATTGCATTTAATGTCTTTACGCTGAAGGAGTATAACTTTTTACGTGCGTACCTTCACACATATCTTTTTGTAACTGATGTGTTTTCGTACTACAAGATGGTTATCCGATATAACAAGATGGATACTTCGATGGTTAAGTTTAGTAATTTTTACCTCATTTAGTGTTTTCAATATTCCTTTTTATATATAGAAGTGGATCTAGATATAGAATACCACAATTATGCTAACTTGTTATTGATATAATTAACTAAGCATGCGGTATGATTAACATAGCTGGCGGCTTACCTAATATTAAGTTTTTTCTTAACCGCCGATCTTTGGCATTTGCAACACCCGTTGCAGGTTCGTTGCCACCTTATAATAAAGTGGTCTCCGGCTCCTCACTCACCAGGCGAATCGCAGAAGTGTAACACTTCCACTTAAGGCCGGTCTTCTGTGAGGTCGTGGTACTTACCCGGAAGGAACTGCCCATTCGTGCAACAGTGAACACTGTTGCGTGGCCCTACCACAATAGAACTCAATGCTACGAGGTGGTCTTAATTTTTGACATTATTAAGTGCAGAGATGAGCACTATAGAAAACTTTAAAATTTATAAAAAGCGATGGCTACATCTCTCGTTCGAATTATCGTTGTAAAACGATATTTGAAATTGTTTGTATGCTGGAAAGGATATAACAATAGATGCGCCAAGCATTGCTTCAAATGCTAAATAACAATGTAGAAAGAGGGTGTTAAGATTTTCATCGCTGTGGCTATCAGCCGTTTAGCTCCGTGGCTAGAGCGTCAGGCCGCGAATGCCGAAGACGTGGGTTCGATTCCCACAGCAGCGACAATCTTTTCGTACTTTTTCTACATGTTTTAATGTTCAATCTTAAGTGCAGAGATTAGCACCACAGAAAACTTTAAAATTTATTATTAAATTAGTTTTTGTCTCCCTTTACAGGTACAACTGTGAGGATCCTAACTGTTATTCAGATTTGGCTAGATTGCGGGGCCTTAAATATGTCACCTGGGAGGATAAAAACAAATTCGAACAGCAAGATGAGGTAAGTTTATCAAAATTTCTTTCAAAACGAGACAAACTAATATGATCGAAATGGTAATATGTACAATGAAAATTGAAGGAAGTAATGCAAGCTTATGTTAAATACGTACAGATTTTCGTGGAAACCGATAATAGATATTATATTAAAATTTAGGAGTATAATATTTGTACAAAAAACCCTAAACAGGCTTACATCATTAAGAGTCTTACATATTTGTTATAATCCTAATTAGTAAAAATATTTGAATTTGATATTTTTTTCTGACACTATGGCAGGGTCACGGGCCAGGTGGTGCGTCTCACGCCAAATTCACCAATTATTCGTTCGATGTCGAAGAGTTTTTAAGACTTGTAGAGGTCTGTGCATTATACGTGCGTTCACGCCAGGACTTCAAGAATTTCATCGAAGCGTCTGCGTTACAAAAGTTGCATGAAGAACTTTAATTATGGCATACGGGTTTGGATTATTGTCGTCTGAACATGCACTTATATTACGAACAAATATGGAATGGGTACCAAACATATAGAAACGGGTATTCAAAAATAAAATATTGGATGGTGTAAATTGCGTCCCGTAATGTTGTCAGTACTTGAAGAGTTTAACCACTGTCATTTAGTTTAACTGTTTGGTTGATCAAAAGTTGAATAATAAAGTAACATTTTAAGGTTTATAACAATATCAATTGTTTAGTTTTCCATGTACCTATGTAATACAAAGGTTCAAATTAAATTTATTTTAGCAAGTGTGATAATTATACCTAAGTTGCAGTTTTTTCAATACGCCAGAATCTCACTTGTTTTAAGCCGTTTAAAATATATTCCATAGTTGTAACTGTAAAAGCTCAATTTGTACTTAATTTAAACTTATTTTAACTAAGTGTGCATCGCCGTAGCTATCATTTAATATATAAGAAATAATTTTTACTTGTATGATTCAGCCTAATATTTGATGAATTTAAAATAAATAACATGACATGTGATAAAACAGTGATAATGATTACTTATAAGATACAAAAATAAATTGTGTTTAACAAATTGTGTTTTATTTAATGAGTTTGATGTTGGACTGCTATGACATGAAATAGTTTGTTTACATAACTTCACATTCGGTGCTAAATATATTACGACCCCTAAAATAACTAGATTAATTTAGTTTTCTTATCGTAGTATTAATGTGGTAGAGTCTCGCAGCAGCCTCGGATGTTGCACTAATGGGCAGGCTCGTCCGGGTAAGTACCACGGCCTCACAGAAGACCGGCGTAAAGTGGAAATATGACAAATACTTTCGCGTTTCGTCTGGTGAGTGAGGTAGCGTGAGCCCAATTTCCAAAAAGGTTGTCAACGCATCTGCAAACCCTCGGGTGTAGCACGTGTCTATGGGTGGCGGTATTCACTTAACATCAGGTGAACCGTCTGCTCGTTTGGCAACTTTTCACACATAAAAAAGTATAGTCGGGATAGGTGTAAAGTCAAACTTTTAAAAGTTTACTTTTTTGAAAGAAAACTATAAAGACATTTTTTCTATCTGAATGTCAGAATAGTTTTGAACCTGTTAAAAAAAATTATTGAACCTTGCTGCCATTGCATTTTTCGAACAAAATTCGATAAGATGGTGTGCGTATTTTTATCGCCTTAATTTTTTGATATTGTCAAATAAAATTGAATATTCCTCTACCGATGATATCACCTATATTTTATGTGAAAACAGTGACGCTTTCACTGACATCAATAACATTATGATTGGGAAATTTAACTGTTGCCTCGTATGGTTGGGTTTATAAATAAAAATAAATACAGTGGCCGATTTACAAATATGCCGCCAATAGGCTGTTCAGTTTTTGCCGCCCCTACTGACCTCAGAAATTCGATACCCTAGTTTGCAATCATATTAATTAAATTTATTCTGTCAATAAAACTGCTACTTTACGATTTGTGCTCTATCGTCTTCAATACGTTAGTTTTTTTAGGGTTCCGTAACGAAAGGGTAAAACGGGACCCTATTACTAAGACTCTCTGTTGGTCTGTCCGTCTGTCACCAGGCTGGATCTCAAGAACCGTGATAGTTAGACATTTGAAATTTTCACAAATCGCACCGTGCGTGGAATAACGTTCTGTGGTCACATAGAACGAATTTGATTTTATCGTCGGATAGTCTTAATTATTGTCTACGCTTTCAGATAACATTTTAATTTTTTTCTTCTGACTTATAGAATATATTGAGATTCAGAACAGAACAACGTTCTATCTGATTTGTGCTCCGCAGTACAAAGACATATGTACGTTTAGACAGTGTTTTTTTGTACTGACTAGACTAACCTTACTAATGTAATAGACGAGTGAAATATACTCTATTAGAGTCAATTGATAATTACTGCACAGTCACCCACTTTTTTATGGATATTTCGTTGAAAACAGTGCTACATGCATTTTTTTTTAATTTTTATTTTATTAAAGAGGGTTTTTACACAAGTAGGTAAATATCACCCTCATAGTACAAACTTAGTTACATAAACACTTAAACAAAAAATTAACGCCTGCTTAAACATTTTTGAACAATATTATATAGTGTTCTAGCATCTACAGAAGTTGGAAAAGCTAATACACTATTACAAAAACCAACTTCTAATCTATTATATAACGTTTTAGACTTGAATTGACATTTGACATGCTACATGCATTTATGTCATACATATTTTCTGAGTTTTTAGTAGAACAACGTTATAAATGAACGTGTGACCTATTATTTTTTGGAATGTTCCGTTGAACAACGTTATATAAATGTGTATATGTGATCTTGTGACCCATTAGTTTTGCCATTTTCCGTAGAAAAACGTCACTATTACAAATGAAACCTCTTATTTCCTAAATTTATATAACTATTTATTCAAAAAGTTTTACTGTTTGTTTATATACCTAATCATATTACAAACCCCAAAAATTGTAATAGCAACTCCTATGTATAAGATAGCTATGTATATTATAGGCAATATAAAAAAAATATAATTTTAATCGGCCGTCCTGAACGATTACAATTTTGCAGATGTCACGTTGTTCTACGCAGAGTGCGAAATGATGTATTTCTGTTGCTGCTATAGCAACAAATACTAAAAAAAATAATAAATATATATTTAAGTAGGGCTCCGATACAACAGACATGACTTTTTTGCCATTTTTATAGATAATAGTACGGAGAACCCTTCGTGTGTGAGTCCTATTCGCACATGGCCGTTTCTTGTTATAAGAATGATTTTGAACTAGGGTTTCGTTTTGTCAGTTTCTAGATTTTTTATAACCCACTATTTAGTGAAGATTGCACGAAGAATAGTTTTAGGTATATTTCCGAGATGAGAAAAGTCAATCATGTTCTAATTATAAAACGAGTAAAGGTATGCCTTAAAAATGCTGTAATTTTATTATATATTGAGTACTATAAAAATACTTTAAAAGTTTCTGTAAGACAAACATTTTGGGCCAAATCTGCCGCCCCCTAAAATCTGCCGCCCTAGGCTGTAGCCTACTCAGCCTGCTGGTAAATCCGCCACTGAATAAATATATAGATATATATTGCTTATATGAAGTAAATATTAAAAATAAAAATATACAATATATTGATTTAAATATTGCATATAATACAAAAAATAAATAGGACCCAACCAGACGAAAGCCCTCGGTAGGGAAGACCAAACCGTGACGAGACGAAGGCCGTGGGTTAGGATGAAGGAGAGAGATACCGCCGGACAATGCGGGCGGTATCGAGGAGCACTGCGTTCTGCATTTGAGCTTGGAGCGTTCCGTCCCGGAGTCCCAGGAGCCTCAGATGTTTGGAGAGGCTGACTGGGATGAACTCATTCGCAGACACGACTATCGGGATAATTTCGGTCGGCACACCATCCCACATGTCGGTCACCTCCTTTGCCAGGTCCAGACACTAGCTTTTCGTCATATGAAGTGGTAATATCGACTAGAAATATCCGCGACTGTGCCCGGTCCATCAACACTATATCAGGTTTATTCGCAACAATCGTCCTGATAGGCCGGTTCCAACAGAGTCTGGCGATGTCATTTTCGAGCACGGCCTCCGGTACTTACAGTACGGCAGTTTCCGATCCACAAGCCCGTATTTCAGAGCGAACTCCTGGTGTAGAATTCTAGCAACTAAGTTGTGTCTATGCAGATACTCAGAGTAAGAATGCATGGAACGACCGAAGATAACATGCCGCGGCGACTCCCCGGGATGGCGCCAAGGTTTACAGATGTCGACGGTGCCATCCCTGCGGAAATACTACCCTGATCCTGCATCGCACAGACAAACCTCTCTGTTTCCCCAAAGAGGTCACCGAAAAGTAGATAGGGAGGCAATAGTATCTACGAAAGGCTCGTGTAGAGCCTTGTATGCCCATTTAGAACCTTCCATGGAGCTCTTTCTCCTTCCATATGGTCTTCCGATCAGAAACGCTCAGTACTCCCAGGTTCTGCGATTGCTCGTTGGCTAAGGATAGAAAGGTAAATCCCTTATCATAACTTATGATGAGCAGATTGGCACATCCGATCTCGCCAAAAAATAGTTGCGGAGGCTGAATACCTAGTGATTGTGAGGTGAGCTTAAAAGCCCCTCCTGCTATGCTTCCGCGGCAGGTACAAGTCTCATCACTGACGATCTCGGATGATGCATCCTGTGGGACGTCATAGTGGTGCGGACTTTTCGGTCCAGGGCGTTGAGGTCATTTTGAGTCCACCTGAGTATGCCGGTATACATGAGGACTGGCATAACTCAGCCGTTAAATGCGCGTGCTTTGTTCACGCCTGACAAATGGAGGTTAAACACTTCTGTCAGACGCAAAAAACTCATCACAATCTGATTGTTTCATGCCAGCCTCATCGATACACATGTTTTGTGACACACCCAGGTATCGGTATGTTTCAGCCTCGGAGAGGGTCCTTATGTTAACGGGTAAAGATAAATCTATTATTATTATTATTAATAACATTAACATCTCGTTTTTTTCATGGTAAAAGTTGGCAAGCGAGGAGGTGGTGCACCTCAACTTCAAAAATTAGGACTCGGTTACTTCACTTACGCGAAACGTTCCGTTTCACGTCGATCTCCTGCGGCAGAGCTACTTGCCCAGATTAGCCTGTCTGCCCATATTAGCAGAAGCTGCTGCGCGGCCCTAACACAGTGAATATAAACATAAAGTAATTACATACACAATAACGATTTTATGATTAAAAAAACCACTTCGAATGTTAACGGATATACCCACGTGTGACAAGGGATATGTTTCCTTAGAAACTGTTCAGCCTTTACGATCGTGCAGAAGCAGAAACATGGCCCTACTATATGTTTGGCGTTTTGGGGTTTTGAACATATTTTTATTTGTTATAAAACCAAAGTTCATATTCCCTTAGTTTTTTTTGTTTTTTTTTCAATGTAATTAAGA